AACCCGGGCGGGGGACGAACTGCAACTGAGGTACGTGCCGTTAGCGAGAAAGGAACCCGGGCTTCTCTGATCTGTGGTTCGATGCTCCAACCACTGAGCCAAACTGGCCAGGGCTGGTCAGTTAACTTTTTAGAAAGTCATTGAAGCAAGGATTATCATAAAGACATGAGAGATGCTTCAAGTTATTTATTTATTTATTTTTTATCCTCACCCGAGGACATTTTTCCATTTTTTGCACAGATAGAGTGGGAGGGAGAGAGAGGAAGAGAGAGAGAGAGAGAAACATCGATGTGAAAGGGACACATCGAGTGGCTGCCACCTGCACAACCAACCAGGGCCGGGGACAAACTGCAACCGAGGTACATGCCCTTAGCAGGAACCGAACCCGGGTCTCTCCGGACCGCAGGCCGATGCTCTAACCGCTGAGCCAAACCGGCCAGGGCTATTTTAACCTAAATATTTATATTTTTGTTTGCATCTAGGCAGGTATTTAAAGAGAGCTTGTGAAAGCAATCTGAGTGCAGAATCTTTCTAGGTGTTTATAATTTCTCTCCTAATATTTTACTTTTCCCCACAGCAACTGGCTTAGGAACAAATATAACTGATTGTTACCAGAAGTTAGTCAACTGGTGAGGGCAGACATGCAGGTGTGCTGGAGATAACCCACTAATCAAAAGTTTTCAGAATGCAGTGAGCAGCATGTTCAATGGATACAATTTTTTTTTTATTCCTCAGCCAAAGATATTTTTCTACTTATCAGATAGAGTGGAAGGGAAGGAGAGATATTTTTCTACTTATTATCACATAGAGTGGGAGGGAGGGAAAGAGAGACAGAGAGAAACATCGATGTGATAGAGCTACATTGACTGCCTCCCACATGACCCTACCAGAGCTCATGCAACCAAGGTACGTGTCTTTGACCGGAATCGAACCCGCGACTCAATGGTCAGCAGGCTGACGCTTCAACTGCTGAGCCAAACCGGCCAGGGCTCAATGGATACAATTTAAAGAGCTCTATTGTACGTGTCCACTGTGGAAAACTTAGAAAATATGATAAACAACAAAAAAGAAAAATCCAAAATTTTGACATAGGGTAAATACTAAGTTTTTGGTCTGTTTTATATATATATGAAATATGTATAGATACATACATACATACATATACATATATATGAAGTACATATGTACTAATATGACACTATGTATATATATACTATATAAATAAATATATACTATTTACACATAAACACATTTTAAGAAAAGGCAGGTGCATGCTATATATATATTATAATTTAGTCTTTTCTCATCTAAATAAGCAAATACTTCCTGGTCTGTGTGGCTCAGTTGGTTGAGTGTCAGCTTGTGCACCGAAAGGTCGCTAGTTCGATTCCAGCTTAGAGCACATACCCAGGTTGTGGGCTGGATCCTAGGTCAGGGTGCATGCAGGAGGCAGCCAATAGATGTTTCTCTCTTTCTCTCTCTTCTTTCCTCTCTCTCTAAAATCAATGGTCAGGAGGGTTGTGGGGTGTGCCCAGAGGTGGGAGGAAAATAGGCCTCTCTCTGGCTCTGCCAGAGCAGTAGATACCACATGCTCTTTGTGATCCCTGTTGGCTACTTCATTAAACACACACACGTATGCACAGGGTGGGGCTAAAATAGGTGTATAGTTGTGAATATGTGAAACAGTTTATTCTTATGCAAAACACAGTTTATTCTTGTGTTATTATTTATTAATTATTGTATTATTTTCCATATGAACAACCGTAAGCCTACTTTTTGATCTTTTAATAATGGTTGTTTCATAAAGGCCACACCTTAAAAATACATTCTTTCCTTGGCTCTGTGGCATTGCAAGATCCTGGTTTTCCTCCTAACCACCTCAGTCACTTTTCAGTGGCTCTTTCTTTTTGCTCATCTCTAAAATATTGGTACACTACAGGTCTGCCCAGAGTCACTTTCTCAATCTACTTTCTGGGTGATCTGTACTTCCACGACTTTCGGTATTATCAACAGAACTCCATCTTTAGTGGGGTAAGTCTAATAGTAAACATACAGGGTTACCATCCCCATTCTCATAGCAATCTAGTAGCCCTTTTGAAAACATTCTCAGTAAACATCAAATTATAGAGATCACTGCTCCAGTTTCTAAATGCTCACCAGGTAGGCTTGTAATGATACTCAAGAATGCTTATGTGGGAGTTGGCACAAAAGGACAGTGCCTTTAGACATGGATTATCTAAATTTTAGTCACAAATATGAAGATTTCCTAATTCATAAAATAGCAATTGAGAACTTTAATACGGTTCAGAATAGAACCCTATGGCAATATATAAGACTAACCTTCATCTGGAAATCAGTTCATTTACTGGGATTGTTTGATTAGTATATTAGACATAATATGTGTTCTCCTAACTGCAGTGTTAGTGAAACACACCCTTTACGTATTCAATACATCTCTGTTTTTTCCTCTGTGCCTGTGTCAACAGGTACACTTTGTGGTACGCTGAATACAAACCCAGGCACATAGGTAACTGGAAATCATTGCGTGGCAATACATGTTGAAAAAATGGTCATTAAATATTTGAAAATATGCTAATGGTTTTCTTTGGGTTCTGAAAATAAAAATGTGTATTTTTTTTTTTTATCCTCACCCAAGGACATTTCTCCATTTTTTTGTTCATATAGAGTGGGAGAAAGAGAGAGAGAGAAACATTGATGTGAAAGGGACACATCGAGTGGCTGCCTCCCGCACAACCCAACCAGGGCTGGGGACAAACTGCAACTGAGGTATGTGCCCTTAGCCGGAACTGAACCCGGGTCTCTCTGGACCGACGCTCTAACCGTTGAGCCAAACCGGCCAGGGCAATGCATATTTGTTAAATGTTCAGAAAATTGTGTACCCTCTGTAGCACATCTGCTCATTCTCAAAGGTTGTGCTCAGTTTGTGTAAGACTACCTTAACAAACTGAAGGGTAACTGAATGTGGGCATGAGGGTTTCCCCGCCACAAATTTTAGGACTTCCATGTAGAAAGGAAAGAAAAGTAACTTTTGGCTAAATATGAAATCATCTCAGATTGAATTGGATTCATTGAAAGATAATGGCTCTCCTTTAAGTAGAGGCTGGGGGATCACTCATTTAGGGTTTTACAAAGGGGATTTTTTTTCGCACTATGTGAGTGACATGATAATTTCTAATCTTTTCCTCACCTAAGATTTCATGAGCCTGTGGACTAACTATGTACCTGGGGTCTTTAAGAAACAAACAAACAAAAAAATGTAGCATTCATTTTGTAGTTCTACCTATCTCTATATCTTATGTAAGATGTTGAAAAACACCTTATACAATAAGATAGCGGTTCTCAACCTGTGGGTCGCAACCCCTTTGGGGGTCTAACGACCCTTTCACAGGGGTTGCCTAACACCATCGGAAAACACATATTTCCGATGGCGATTCATAACAGTAGCAAAATTAGAAGTAGCAACGAAAATAATTTTATGGTTGGGGGTCACCACAACATGAGGAACTGTATTAAAGGGTTGCAGCATTAGGAAGGTTGAGAACCACTGCAGTAAGAGAACTAATTATCCATAATCTCTGCATTGTAAGTTATTATCAATTTGAAGTATTTTAATATTTATTCATGTCCATAGTTTTTATTTTATTTTATCCTCACCTGAGGACATTTTTGCATTTATCTTCAGATAGAGCAGGAGGGAGAGAGGAGGGAAGAGAGAGAGAGAAACATCGATGCAAGAGAGACACATGGACTGGTTGCCTCCTGCGCTACCCTGACCAGGGCCAGGGACGAACTGCAACTGAGGTATGTGCCCTTGGGCGGAATTGAACCCGGATCTCATTGATCTGGGGGCCGATGCTCTAACTGCTGAGCCAAACTGGCCAAGGCCATAGTTCTTTTATAAATGTACATTTATAGTTCTATTTACATTTTGTTTAAAAATTTTTTTCTTTATTGATTTTAGTGAGAGAGAAAGAGAGAGGGAGAGAGAGAGAGAAACATCAATGAGAGAGAACATCAATTGGCTGTCTCCTGCACGTCCCCCACTGGGGATCAGGCCCTAACCTGGGCATGTGCCCTAACCAGGAATCGAGCCAGTGACCTTTTAGTGCATGGATCAACACTCAACCACTAAGCCACACCGGCTGGGTACATTTTGTTCGTTTGTTTGTTTATTTATTTATTTATTTAATTTTTATCCTCACCTGAGGACATTTTTTTTATTTTTTGCATTTATCTTCAGATAGAGTAAGAGGGAGAGAGGGGGGAAGAGAGAGAGAGGAACATCAACGTGAGAGAGACATATCAACTGGCTGCCACCCACATGACCTCACCAGGGCCAGGGACAAACTGCAACCGAGGTACATGCTCTTAGCGGGAACCGAACCTGGGACTCTCTGGTCCGCCGACTGATGCTCTTAACTGCTGAGACAAACTGGCCAGGGCACATTTTGTTTTTTAAATGACTTTAGTTATCATGAGATAAATTTAAGGAAATTAGTGTGTTTTCCTGGATTCTGAATCTTTTTTTTTTTTTTAATCCTCACCTGAGGACATTTTTCCATTCATATAGAGTGGGAGGAAGAGAGAGAGAGAGAGAGAGAGAGAGAGAGAGAGAGAGAGAGAAACATCCATGGGAAAGGGACACATCGAGTGGCTGCCACCTGCATGACCCAACCAGGGCCGGGGACAAACTGCAACCAAAGCACGTGCCCTTAGCAGGAACCGAACCCGGGTCTCTCTGGACCGAAGGCCGACACTCCAACCACTGACCCAAACCGGCTAGGGTGGATTCTGAGTCTTTAATGAGTCTTTAATCCTAAAAACCACTGGTAGATGTGGTGGTAGAAGCAATGCATTAAAAATGTGTGAGGCCACAACAGCTTCTTAGAAAACTGATTTTTGTGGTTTGTGGGCATTCCTAAATAGTTTATATTGCTTTCCTAAATTGTTTATATTGCTTTCTTTTCTACTTAAATTAGTTGATCATGGACTTGCCAGACTGGTGACAGTATATTGTGAGCATGGTCATAAAGCTGCCAAAATCAACCCCCTCTTCACTGGACAAGCCCTGCAGGATAATGTGCCTGAAATCCAAGCTCTTGTGCAGACCCTGCAGGGACCCTTTAATACCACAGGTAAAACCCATTGGCAATAGACCTTCCATGTCACATGCGACAATTAACTGCCAACAGAGGTGGGGCTCCTTTCTCTGTTCTCGAAGAACCCATATGCCCACTGGAGCTGAGACTTCCGTGGGGTGTGAGGAGACAATGAGGGGTACTTTCAAGCACTGTTAGGAAGGAGCAGTCTTGAAGTTCTAGAATGGTCTTTCAATAGGGCCCATTTCCTCTGCATTCAAAAACCTATAGACAGATGGCCAACAAGCACATAAAAAAGTCCTCAAGGAAGTGCAAATCAAAACCACAATGAGATATCACTTCACACCTGCTAGAATTGGCTATTACAAAAAAAAAAAAAAAAGATGCAAGGATGTAGAGGAAAGGGAATCCTTGTGCACTGTTGGTGGGAACGTAAATTGGTGCAGCCACTATGGAAAACAGCATGGAGTTTCCTCAGAAAATTAAAAATAGCAACATCATATGATCCAGCAATTCCACTTCTGGGTATTTATCCAAAGGAATTGAAATCAGGATCTTGAAGAGATATTTGCACTTCTATGTTCACTGCAGCATTAGTCAATCAGTATGAAAGATCTAAAGTTCATTGTAAGAAACCATAAAGAATATAAAGTAAATGTTGGTTTGTTAACTCATGTAGGGTTAGGCAAATGACTGATAACTAATTTGATGCTAAGTTAATGACATATAACAAACTTTTCTTTGAGTATCAGGGAGATTTCCTTTTACCTTAAAATGTTGCTTTGGTATCAATATTAACTCATATTAAGACTGTTTAATAATAAACACTATAGATACTATAGATAACATCTGTCCAAACTAATGAATATTTTGGTAGATATATATTTGAGATAAAGGTACGACATAAACTATGTAGCTATGAAGGAGATGAAAAGTGGGTTGAAAGTCTATAGAATCAAAATTTGACATAAAACAGTATAATTCTGTCCTTGTGAAGAAAGATTTTTATTCCTCTTCTAGTTTTACTACTTTATGGCCTTTGACCATATTTTTAGTTTTGCTTCTAGAAAAATATAGATAAACACTGATAATGATTCAGGTTATTTGGAACAAAATGCTATGAATTGAAATAATTTTTTGGTATGTTCTACGATTAGTTACATGCTTGATTCTTCTTTAAGAGGACCTCTTTGATTCCATTTCCTAGGATTATTGAACATGGGGAAGGACGAGGCCTCTCTTGAGGAAGTATTAGCCTATCTCAACCAAATCTACTGTGGGCAGATTTCCATCGAAACCTCCCAACTTCAGAGCCAGGAGGAGAAAGACTGGTTTGCAAAGCGTTTTGAGGAGCTGAAAAGGGAGACATTTACCACAGAAGAGCGAAAACATCTGTCCAAACTAATGCTAGAATCTCAGGTATAAAGGCAGCAGCTAATAAATGGAATAGGTCAACTCATTTCCTATAAAGATATAAATACTGAAGAGAGGAAATTAGGCATTAAATCTCTGAACATACCTCCACTTACTGCCCATTGCATCAACACAACAGACAGTATAACACACCACTTTATTCTGAGCAGGATAAAGGAGATTGCCAAACAACAGAGCTACTGGTTCTCCTCAGAGTCAGAATACATTTTATATGTGTATTTGTTGATTCATTCTATAAAAGATTACAAAATCCTTAAGATCTTCTCTTTTATTCCCTGAAGTGATTAAAAAAAAAACTATGCATGGAAGACTAATCAATATGAATTAATGGAATTGAATATTTGTCAGGGTGATGATCAGGATTCAGGCATACCAAGATGACAAGAAGTTTACTGCCAATAATTCAGACAGTTGGCTAGTTTGTAGCCTTGATAAAATAGTACAGTAGAACCTGATACTAAAACTCAGGTACTGGTTGAGGCAGCAGAAATCTGAGGCCCAGCACCTACTCTACAAGAACACACATTTAAGGGGGCTCCCCTTGGGGTAAGTTATTCTACTTCTCAGGTTATTTTCTCTGCATCCCCTACTGTGGTTGGGTGTCCTTGGCAAGGCTTTCCTGCTGGACTCTGGGTGACATATCTTTCTCTGGGGTAGGAGTGAAGGAGCACAGCAGCAGGCACTTGAAGTACTGGGTGGGGGGCAATGGGGGGTCTTTTTAACAACATACATAAACATGTCTGACTTTGACCTAAGTAGTCAGCTATCTTCCGGTAACTAATGTGTGATGTGATGTTGCATAGGAATTTGACCACTTTTTGGCCACCAAGTTTGCCACAGTGAAGCGATATGGAGGCGAAGGAGCTGAAAGCATGATGGGCTTTTTCCATGAGCTGCTGAAAATGTCAGCCTACAGTGGGATCACCGATGTCATCATTGGGATGCCCCATAGGGGGAGACTTAATTTACTGACAGGCCTTCTGCAGTTCCCTCCAGAGGTAAAATACTTTATGACATGCAGTTGACTCTAACAGAATAAAACTGATGGTAATAATTCTTTTTAGAAAACTGACTAAGCATATGAATCATTGGTCCAGGATATAGTATAGCTTAGTTAATTGATGGAACCCAATGCTGCTGGATAGAATGGGTATTTAGGTTGATTTTCTGCATATCCTTGTATGGATTCTTCTTTCTGGGAAGTTAAAGGTTAGTTTATTTCTTCAAGGATGATATGAATAGATAAATTCTACTCTTTGAAGCACGCTTACTTCATAAAAATTGTTCAAACGAACACAAGGATTTGTGCAATTTTATACAATTTTACCTTACAAGAAGTCAATTTTACCTTTCACTTATTTGTAGAGTTTATAGTTAGTGGGTTGTACTAAAACTAGTGATACATTGCTATCTTAAGAGACCACCCAAGTGAGTGGTTTTAAAGGTAACTGAATCTTGGTATTTCTGTTCAGTCCAGCTCAGCTGCTCTGCTCTGTAAGTCTTTCAAAAGACTTGGGAGTCAGTACTGGAGATCTGATGTCAGGGAACATCAGAGAAATAAGGTTGTGGCCATTATACATGGATAAACCTCACTGATGTTTGTTTTTTTTTAAATCCTTACCTGAGGACATTTTTCCATTTTTTGTTCAGATAGAGTGGGAGGGAGAGAGAGGAAGAGAGAGAGAGAGAGAAACATTGACACAAAAGGGACACATTGAGTGGCCGCCACCCGCATGACCAACCAGGACCGGGGACAAACTGCAACCAAGGTACGCGCTCCTAGTGGGAACCGAACCCGGGTCTCTCTGGACCACAGGCTGATGCTCCAACCACTGAGCCAAACTGGCCAGGGATCATTCCTGTTTTTTTGCCATGGGATTAAAAATAACTACAAATGTTGCCCTGGCCAATTTGGATCAGCAGTTAGAGCACTGGCCTACGGACCAAAGGGTTGCAGGTTTGATTCCTGTCAAAGGCACAAACCTGGGTTGCAGGTTCGATCCCCGGCCCTGGTCAGGGTTGTGCAGGAGGCAACCATCCTATGTCTCTCTCACATCAATGTCTCTCTCTCTCTCTCTCTCTCTCTCTCCCTCTCCCCCCCCCCACAATCCTTTCCTCCCTTCCACTCTCTCTAAAAGTATCAGTGGGAAAATATCCATGGGTGTGGATTAACAGAATAATAATAATAATAATAATAATTACAAGTGTTAAAAGGACTATCAGAGTTAGATGGAGTGAATAAAGCTCATCGAAGGATGTGTTGTCCTTAAGAATATTAGAAAATTGCCCTGGCCAGTTTGGCTCAGCTGTTAGAGCCTTGGCCTGCAGACCGGAGAGTCGTGGGTTCGGTTCCTGCTAAGGGCACATACCTCGGTTGCAGTGTCCCTGGCCCTGGTTGGGATTGTGTGGGTGGCAACCAGTTGATGTGTCTCTCTCACATCGATGTTTCTGTCTCTCTCTTCCCTCCTGCTCTATCTGAAGATAAATGCGAGAAAATGTCCTCAGGTGCAGATAAAAAAAAAAAGAAGAATATTAGAAAATCTATGTGGTATCATGTCTAGGGGCAAAGCTTTACCACTATTACTCATTCCTCAGTGTTTCTGATGCAAAGAGACTGATAATCAGCTTTTAAAAGACAAATACCTTAACCCTGGCCGGTTTGGCTCAGCAGTTGGAGCCTCAGCCTGTGGACCAAAGAGTCGGGGGTTCGATTCCGGTCCCCAGCCCTGGTTGTGGTCATGTGGGAGGCAACCAATCAATATGTTTCTCTCATGTCAATGTTTCTCTCCCTCTCTCTCTCTTTCTCTCCCCTTCTCTCCCCTACCCTCCCTCCCACTCTATTTGAAGACAAATAGAAAAATATCCTTGGGTGAGGATTAAAAAAAAAGGACAAATACCTTAGAAAAAGTAGAGTATGACAGGATAAAGTGATTGACAGATGAAGGCATGTACTTAGATACATGCAGAAATTCTTACTTTTTTTTTCAAGTGTTAACTTCCTTTATTTCAATAATATTTTATCATTTTTGAGCATAGACAATAAAACTGATCTTCACAGATTGGCATAATATTCAGCATGTGGTCTATACATGCAGAAATTCTTAAACCAAAAATTGCATTCCTAAAATATCTCAGACAAAGAAATGACTCAAAGATGCAAAAACTATTATAAATGATCATATTTGTGACAAACACATCTGTGTATACACTGTGTATGTTCCTGTAGATAGGTAAATAAGAAGCTTTTGAATACTAGAGAAGCTTTTGGGTCATTCAAACAATTTGGCAAATTGCCTGGCCGGTTTGGCTCAGCGGTTAGAGTGTCGGCCTGTGGTCCAGAGAGACCTGGGTTCAGTTCCCGCTAAGGGCACGTACCTCAGTTGCAGTTTGTCCCCGGCCCTAGTTGGGTCGTGCGGGTGGCAACCACTCGATGTCCCTTTCACGTCGATGTTTCTCTCTCTCCCTCTCCCTCCCTCCCAATCTATCTGAACAAAATATCAAAAAAATGTCCTCGGGTGAGGATAAAAAAAAAAAATTAAAAAAAAGTAGTAAAAAAAAAACAATTTGGAAAATTGAAAATAGCATGCTGCCCTGGCCAGTTTTGCTCAGCGGTTAGAGCGTCAGCCTGCGGACCAGAGAGTCCAGGTTTGGTTTCTGCTAAGGGCACGTACCTCAGTTATAGTTTGTCCCCGAACCTGGTTGGGGTCATGTGGGTGGCAACCACTCGATGTGTCTCTCTCACGTCGATTTTTCTCTCTCTTCCTCTCTCTCTCCCTCCTGCTCTATCTGAAGATAAATGCAAAAATGTCCTCGTGTGAGGATAAAAAAAAAAAATTTAAAGAAAAGAAAATAGCATGTTGATTTGGGTAAATACTTTGCTTTGAGACCCAGCTTTGTTACTTACTAGCTAAGGATCTTTAATGATTAAATTTCTCTTGCTTGTTCACTTTATTTTTTATTTATTTATTTTTTTAATCCTCACCCGAGGACATTTTTCCATTTTTTGTTCAGGTAGAGTGGGAGGGAGAGAGAGGAACAGAGAGAGAGAGAGAAACATCGACGTGAAAGGGACACATCGAGTGGCTGCCTCCCGCATGACCCAACCAGGGCCGGGGACAAATTGCAACCGAGGTACGTGCCCTTAGCGGGAACCAAACCCGGGTCTCTCTGGACTACAGGCCGATGCTCTAACTGCTGAGCCAAACCGGCCAGGGCTTACCACCCATTTGTAAAGTGAACAAGCAAGAGCCCTGGCCGGTTTGGCTCAGCGGTTAGAGCATCGGCCTGCAGTCCTGAGAGACCCGGGTTCGGTTCCCGCTGGGGGCACGTACCTCGGTTGCAATTTGTCCCCGGCCCTGGTTGGGTCATGCGGGAGGCAGCCACTCGATGTGTCCCTTTCACGTCGATGTTTCTCTCTCTCTCTCTCTTCCTCTTTCTCCTTCCCAGTCTATCTGAACAAAAAATGGAAAAATGTCCTCAGGTGAGGATAAAAAAAAAAGGCTAGTAACATCTATCATGTAGAAGACTGAAAATGAAGTCAAACAATGTATGTAGAGGAGTCCTTTGAATATTAGACTTATGTAGTTTTTTAGATGTAACTCGAGCTAAGAGTATATATCATCCTCTCTAAATGGGATTAAGTTAGCCCTGGCCATTTGGCTCAGCGGTTAGAGCTTCAGCTTGCGGACCAGAGAGTCCCGGGTTTGGTTCCCACTAAGGGCACGTACGTCGGTTGCGGTTTGTCCCCACCCCGGTTGGGGTCATGTGGGTGGCAGCCACTCGGAGTGTTTCTCTCACATTCATGTTTCTCTGTCTCTCTTCCTCCTTCTCTCCTTCCCGCTCTGTCTGAAGATAAATGCAAAAATGTCCTCGGGTAAGGATAAAAAAAGAAAAATGGGATTAAGTTATACTATTTTCCACTCTACCTTTGATAAAATTAATTTAAAAAGTTTTTTTGAAAATATATTCTAACAGATGTATTTAAGAAAAAAATATTTGCTTATTGCAAGGCAGAGGTAACTTACTATGTCATGTTAGACTCCTCATACAGTGTTGGTACTTTATTTGATTGTGAGGATCTCCAAATGGTTCTGTGCATTGGAGCAGTTAGAAGTTTGTGCCTATCTTTAAACAATGGATGATAATAATAATTATAAAAGCATGTGCATACAGTTTTTTTGTATTGTGTAATTTAAACTAGCCACTTCTTCCCTGGTGTCTGTTATGATAAAAAAAAACATTTTTTCTTACATGTATGTGTATCCACAATAGCTGATGTTTCGCAAAATGCAAGGCTTAAGTGAATTTCCAGAAAATGTTCCAGCCACTGGAGATGTCCTGTCTCACCTGACCTCCTCGGTTGACCTGGACTTTGGTGCACACCATCCCCTGCATGTGACAATGCTGCCTAACCCCTCACACCTGGAAGCCGTTAACCCCGTGGCTGTTGGCAAGACTCGTGGAAGGCAACAGTCTAGACAGGATGGGGACTACTCTCCAGACATTTCGGCTCAGCCTGGGGACAAAGTCATTTGCTTGCAGGTACTTGTAGCTTCAGAAGGGAGACCAGAGGTTGGGAAGACAATGGAGAAAGAATGTCCAAGTTGGTCGGTTCTGAAAGGAGATGGCAGACATTCAAGATGAAACTGAGATGAACTTTTGGGGAAAAGATATTCTGGACTCATTTTAAAAATCAATGACAGATATGAGGTTTAGTGTCAAGGCAACTAACTTTAGACTGTGGTTTTTATTGTGTTTTTTCTTTCTCAAGTTATGAATTAACTAAGGGGGTATTGACTGGCATACCAGCTACCACTAGGAGGACGGATGTCATTACTCTGAAAGTATGGCCTTTTAGGAAACCACATTTATCTAACAAGGCTACACAAATCTGGATTTATTTATTTTTCTTTTGCTTTTTTGTTTTAAAATGAAGGTCTTTGGTATTAAGGTAAAGAATACAAATTATTAGTGTGGCTCTTGCGTCCCCTGTCCCCCAACCCCCCAGGTTTTCATAACCCAAAAGATATCTTTTTAAAGTTTGGATTGTGAGTAACATTTTTTTTTAATGTGAGTGTTCATTTGAATGCTAACCCTTAACTACTGGGAGATAATTAATCCTGGATATCGGTAACTGAGTCTTCAAACGCAACAGAAACCTATAAATCCAAGGCAGTAGAATATTTGGCTGTGTATTACAGATAACCACATTATCTTATTCGTGTTAATTTTTCATGGGCCAGAAACTTGGGGAAAATACTTGGGGGTAGGCAGACTGGATTTGATCATGATATGGTATTGTTACTGTGCAGGGTCTGGCCCTGAAGCGGGTCTGCCTCGGGCCTGCCGGTAATGTGTGGGTTCTTGACTAGACTTAGGAAAGATTTCACAGCACGAGTCCAGGTTATTTTGAGAGTACATTTATTACAGGTGGGGACAGTGAAGCAAAGAAAGGGCTTAAGGTAGAAGAAGCAACAGGACAGAGCCTAGGTAAGGCTGCTTTGGCTCACTGAGAAGTAAAAGTCACAGTGACAGAGGTGAGCCAAGGCAGGGCTGCTGTTAGCTCACTGGAAAATCAGAGAAAAAGAAGGCCTTAGAGACAGGTTCAGGGGGTAAGCCCTAGACAAGTTGCCACTGCCCGCTGATCCCCTGGTTGCAAGTGTCTTGGGGACCCTTAGAGTTTAGGAGAAAGAGAACAGAGATACAAGGTGTGGGTGTGCTTTAGTGAGAGAATGCTGTGGGTCCTTTTATCTGTTTGAGGCGTTTTATCTTTCTTTTGCTGGCCAGGAAACCTGAAAGGTCTCAGGGGATGGTCTTAACAGAATATCCATTAGCTTTCCAGGGGTGTCCTTCAATATTTTGATTCATCAAATTGTGTATATAGAGGGTCAGGGATTATTTTTTGGTTAGTTTCTTTTATTTTTAAAGAACATTATTGAAGCCCTGGCCGGTTTGGCTCAGCGGTTGGAGCATCGGCCTGCGGTCCGGAGAGACCCGGGTTCGGTTCCCGCTAAGGGCACGTACCTCGGTTGCAGTTTGTCCCCGGCCCTGGTTGGTCGTGCGGGTGGCAGCCACTCAATGTGTCCCTTCACATTGATGTTTCTCTCTCTCTCTCTCTCTTCCTCTCTCTCCCTCCTGCTCTATCTGCACAAAAAATGGAAAAATGTCCTCGGGTGAGGATAAAAAAAAAAAAAAGAACATTATTGAAGAGGGACCCTGACTAAGGCCCGTCTGCCCAGGACAGTCTGGAATGTGTAAACCATTTGTTCCTAAGTGTCCTTGGTTAGGAAAGATAAAACCTTATGATTCATTAGCTGCCTGTAAATTACGCAAATTGTTTGTCTTGTTTATTTTGTCTCAGTTTCCCTTATTCCACTTGTCAGGGATTTCCCTAGCTTCTTACTATCCTGCCACAGTATTTCTAAATAGTATCTTCAAATCATTAGCCAGATAGTCTTTTTACCTTTCTCTTGACTTAACTCATGATACTCTAAAACAGTGGTTCTCAACCTTCCTAATGCTATGACCATTTAATACAGATCCTCATGTTGTGGTGACCCCCAGCCATAAAATTATTTTTGTTGCTACATCATAACTATAATTTTGCTACTGTTATGTCTTAGGCGACCCCTATAAAAGGGTCGTTCGACCCCCAAAGGGGTCGTGACCCACAGGTTGAGAACCGCTGCTCTAAAATGTTTTGGTCCTTTACATTTACCCACTACATTAGGCAGATCTTAAGATTGATTTCTGGCCAGCCAGTATGGCTCAGTGGATTGAGGGTGGTCCCAGGAACGAGAGGTCCTGGTTCGATTCCCGGGCAGGGCACATGCTCGGGTTGTGGGTTTGATCCCCAGTAGGGGGCGTGCAGGAGGCAGCCAATCAATATATCTCTCTCACATCTCTCTCTCTTTCTCTTCCTTTCTCTCTCTAAAACAAAATCAATAAAAATATATTTTAAAAAATGATTGATTTCTGAAGTAAGAGGTAAAAATGGCATTTTGTTTAAAGTGATGGGACACTGCCCACTTTTGTCTACTTTGTGTTCCCAAAATATTTTGCCTTGCTCTGTCTGTGCATGTCTTACGTTGCTCAAGTACATGATTCTAATTTCTTGTGGGAACTCTGAATTTGGAGAGCCTACAGAATCATGGTGAGTGAGATTCCTGATGCTACTTTTTCTGCTGTTTTCTATTTTTCTTAGTCCCGGACCTGGTAAAAGTGGATTCTCATTTGTGATCTTGTGTGTGTGTCTCCATCCCCGCCCCGCTCATGTCATGTTTGGCTGAGCAGCTGCCACTTCACCTAGCATGTTTGTGCTTATGGACTCTTAATCCCACAAAGCTTTATGGAACATAGTAGAGTGGTTTCTTTCTTTATTTAAGAGGAAAATGAAATTAGCAAATGACACAGGTGTGCTTTAGCAACAAGAATCCTAAAACCAGGATACAATGATGCAAGTTACATATGTTATGTTCTTATCAATTCCTCTGCTGCAGGGGTGGGGAATGTCTGGCCCACAGGTCGTATCAGGCCCCCAAAATCAATACCAGCTAACATCATACACCTCACTAATTAGCCTGACCAAATATAGCAGGTTAATTTTTTTTAAGTATTTTTTTAATTGATTTTTTAGAGAGAGAGGAAGGGAGAGAGAGATAGAAACATCGATGAGAGAGACATCGATTGGCTGCCTCCTCCGCGTTCCCTACTGGGGATCAAGCCCAAAACCCGAGCATGTGCCCTGACCGGAAATCAAACAGGGACCTCTCAGTCCATGGACCAATTCTCAATACACTGAGCCCCACTGGCCGGGCTGGCAGGTTGATTTTTTAAAAATATATTTTTATTGATTTTTAGATAGAGAGGAAAGGAGAGAGAGAAACAGACAGAAAAATCCATGGGAGAGAGAACCATCCATTGGTTGCCTCTGCACGCCCCCTACTGGGGATCAAGCCCACAACCCCGGCATGTGCCCTGACTGGAATCGAATGGAGATTTCTCAGTCCGCTCAACCACTGAGTCACACTAGCTGGGCTAGCAGGTTAACTTTTTTTTTTTTTTTTTTTGGTACGTGCCCCTAGTGGGATCTGAATCCAGGACTCTCTGGTCTGCAGGCCGACCCTCCAACCACTGAGCCAAACTGGTCAGGGCTAGCAGGTTAATTTTTAAGTTGATTTTTTTTTTGGTATGGCCTGTAAATGATGTTATAAATATCAAATGGCCCTTGGCAGAGAAAAGATTCCCCACCCCTGCTCTACTGTAACATTTTTGTAAAGGAGCAGAAAAGGCATGTATCTCTCTTTCTTGCTTTACTGACCTCCTTTTGCATCCCTACTGCACAAGAAATCCGATCAGCAAGGGAGCCTAAGGCTGAGGAAACCTTTGACTCTGTGTGCCCCAATGTGACACTGCCAACTGGATTTACAATGTAACACAGTGTAGAAAAGACAAACACTCTGGAACCAAGAACACCTGAGTTCACATCCTGACTTTGCTGCCTTGTGCTTGGTGTGCATGGTTCTGTTACATGTGTTCTCTAAATCTCATAGTTAAAATGAAAGTATATTACATTCCTCATCATATTCTGAGGATTAAGTGAGAACATGAACATAATAAGTTCCTTAATACACAGAAAAATGGAGATATCACAATCACAGATCTAGTGTCTAGTGCAAGCTGTGTGAAATATATACTGTTTCTGACTCTTGATTTTCTCATCTGTAAAAAGAACAGTAGTGACTTCCTTATCTGTACCCCCCCTTCCTTATCTGTACCTGATTTTTGAGTGGATTAATAAAGATAATGTATAGTGCTGTGGAGATAATGTAAGGGTATGTTATTATTATGTATAAATATTCCAAAATGTCAGTTATCCCTATCGACCCTAGCAATGGAAATGTGTGGACTGGAAATTTCACTTAGGCAGAGAAGTGCTTCCTTTCTTACTCAAAATATTCTACTTATATAAAAATAACTCTCTACAGGACATTAACAATGTCATTAAAAATGAACTAAGAACCCTGGCTGGTTTGGCTCAGCGGTTGGAGCATTGGCCTGTGGACCAGAGAGTCCTGGGTTCGGTTCCCTCTAGGGGCATGTACCAAAAAAAAAAATGAACTAAGTATTTTTTCTTAATTCATATTTAGGTATTTTAATTCTATTATTATTAGAGCCACAAAGATTGCTTTAAGTTAGGGCATATCAGATCATTTTATTCTTTAGTTCAGCATCTTGACTATTTATGATAATTGTCTTTTTAGCACAAAATCTGTAGGGCTTACATTTTCTTCTAAGATCTATAATTTCCTTATTATTTGTTTTCAGCTTTTCTAAAAAAATAAAAAATAAAAAAAATAATCCCCCTTCTCTGCTACCTTTTGTCCACCAGATTTTATAATATTATGATCTAGCAGACTTCAAATGTTTAGGAAGAGTAGCACATTTTAGACATTCTCTCATAACATTTTGATTTTTCCTCAAAGCATCCTGTTTCTCTTTTTTTCTGGGGCAGGGTTGATTGGCAAGAAGGGAGTTCAAAGCCATGCACTGTTCCTTATATCTAGAAAGCTATTTCCATGAAAGTTTTACTAGGGCTGATTTTCTTTTTTGCACCTCCAATATCCCTTCCTTCTATGGTGCTGCTGTATGTACTAGATTGTTATGAGTATATTAGAAGTGATGGGTATAGGTGATGATATGGAGTGGAAGGAGTAGGTCAATTGGTAGTGGCTGCAAGGGGAGAAGAACTGATTTAGCATCTTTGAAAGCTTCTTTAGATCAGCATAATCATTAGAGAATCCTACAACCAGCAGATTTTTAGGAGGGCAGAGGAGCAGTGAGAAGGTGGTTGTTTTTCTTCTTTTTTTTTTTTTTTATCCTCACCCGAGGACATTTTTGCATTTTTTTGTTCAGACAGAGTGGGAGGGAGAGAGAGGAAGAGAGAGAGAAACATCGATGTGAAGGGACACATTGAATGGCTGCCACCCGCACGACCAACCAGGGCCGGGGACAAACTGCAACCGAGGTACGTGCCCTTAGCGGGAAGCGAACCCGGGTCTCTCTGTACCGCAGGCCGACGCTCTAACCACTGAGCCAAACCGGCCAGGGCTTTCTTCTTGTTATTATCTGAAAACAATGTATTTCAATCTGAAAACCTGAATTTCTCCATAGCTTATATTCCTTTTTTTTTTTTTTCTCCCTGTAATTTAGGTTCACGGTGATGCTTCTTTCTGTGGTCAAGGGATTGTTCCTGAAACATTTACGCTCTCTAATCTCCCACATTACAGAATTGGTGGAAGTGTTCATCTGATTGTCAATAACCAGCTGGGTTACACCACTCCGGCGGAAAGAGGAAGGTCTTCCTTATACTGTAGTGATATTGGTATGTAACACAGAATTGGTAGTGTTGCTGGGTCAGACAAGGAATTTCTAGAGAAACTTCTAGTTCACTTGGTACAGCGAACCTCACTGTTTATCCCATTTTATTTATTTATTTTTAATTATCCCATTTTAAATTTTGGATCACATACTGTCAGTAGTCACCTTTCACATTGTTAAGTTAATAAACTCTGAGCATACTCTTTATATTCAAGGAGACAAGACTAGAATGGAACTTAGAGGGTGCAATCTCAAATTGCTTAAATATCCAGTTGAATAGCCTGGTAGAAACCAGAGATTAACACAATTAGTCAACATTAGAGTAATTGTCTTTAGGATGTTCAAACTAGGAATACTCAAATCTTAGTCAAAAAGGATATATTCAAATCAATAAGGGGTTAATATCTAAAATATATAAAGAACTAACATAATAGTAAAAACAATCTGATTAAAATGAGCAAAGGAACTGAATAGATATTTCTCCTAAGAAGATATACAGATGGCAACAGGCAGATGAAAAGGTGCTCAACACCACTAATCACCAGGGAAATGCAAATCAGAACCACAATGAGATATCACTGCACACCTCTTGGAATGACTATCATCAAAAAAACAAGAGACAATAGGTACTGGCAAGGATGTGGTAAAAAGGGACTTTTGTGCACTGTTAAAAGGAATGTAATCTAGTCTAACCACTACGGAAAACAATATGGAGATGCTTCAAAAAATTGAAAATAGATCTACCATAAGATCCAGCAATTCCACTTCTGGATATGTATGCAAAGGAAATGAAAACAGGATTTTGACAAGATATCTGCACTCCATGTTTAAGGCAGCATTATTCACAATAGCCAAGATATGGAAGTAACCCAAATGTCCATCATTGGATGAATGGGTAAAAAACTATGGTATATATACACCTGGAATATTATTCAGTCATGAGAAAGGAAGATATCCTGCCATCCATTTGTGAAAACATAGATGGACCTTTGAGCACATTATGCTAAGCAAGATAAGCCAGACAGAAAAAGAAAAGTATTATATGTTATCACTTGTATGTGGAATTCTAAAAAAAAAAAATCAAAGTTGTAAAAAAATTCCAGTAAAATGGTGGTCACCAGGGGATCAGGGGTAGGGGAGATAAGATTAATGATGTTTAAGGGTACAAATGAGTGAATAATAATGAATAGTAAAAAAGCCATAGAACTCTAATGTGCAGTATAATTAATATAGTCAATAATACTGCACTATAGTGGTCTAATATGATAAATATTGCTTCAATGGTAATCATATCACAATATATAAAGTATCAAAGTTATATGCTGTATACCTTGAATTTACAAATTTTAACATGTCAAATTTATTTTAAAAAATGATGTCTTCAGCCACTAAATTTGGCCAAGTAGTCTGGTTAGACATCAGATGTGAAGAAGAAAGGTTGCTTTGTTGTAACCTATGAAAATTGGCAGTATTAAGAGAAATGCAGGTTATTTTTTTTAATTTTTAATTTTTTTATCCTCACCCGAGGACATTTCTCCATTTTTGTTCAGATAGAGCAAGAGGGAGAGAGAGGAAGAGAGAGAGAAAGAGAAGCATTGACGTGAAAGGGACACATCGAGTAGCAGCTGTCTCCCACATGACCCCAGCCAGGGCCAGGACAAATCGCCGCAACAGACGTACGTGCCCTTGACCAGAATCGAACCCGCGACTCACTGGTCCGTGGGCTGACACTCTAACCACTGAGCCAAACCGACCAGGGCAGAAATGCAGGATTTAAATATATATACTGTATGGGTCCATGCTATATACTATAAATATATATTATATATACATATATGTATAATAATTTTTAAAAATAATAAATTATATTTATTATTTTGAGAGAGAGAGAAAAAGAAACATCTATTTGTTGTTCTACTTATTTATGCATTCATTGGTCATTTCTTGTATGTGCCCTGATTGGGGTTAAACCCACAATCTTGGCATATCAGGATGACACTCTTAACCAACTTAAGCTACCTGACCAGGGCAGAAATGCAGGACTTTTATTACCCAGACCCTACTTCACAGAGTTATAAGTACTGTTAGATGGTGGGACCTATTCTGTTTCAGACCCAAAGCATGGCTTGGATGCCTTTTGGGGCTATGTGATTTTTTTGTGATTAGTTAGAGATACTGAAAACTCATTCTTGAACTTCTCTTTGGAAAAAATTCTTTTTTTTTTTTTTTTTTTTTTTAAATTTTTTTTTTTTTTTATCCTCACCCGAGGATATTTTTCCATTTTTTTTTATACAGATAGAGTGGGAGGGAGAGAGAGGAAGGGAGAGAGAGAGAGAAACATCGACGTGAAGGGACACATCGAGTGGCTGCCACCCGCACGACCAACCAGGGCCGGGGACAAACTGCAACCGAAGTACGTGCCCTTAGCGGGAACCGAACCCGGGTCTCTCGCCGACGCTCTAACCGCTGAGCCAAACTGGCCAGGGCCATTTTTTTTTTAGAATGCATCTTCTCATGATTCTTTATTTTAGGAAGAAAGATACTAGTAATAATGACAATAACAAACTAAATATTAGTTATTACGCACCAGACACTGTTAAGCACTTTATATGCCTTAGCTCATTTAATCTTTACAACAACGCCAACAGATAGGAGCTATTATCCTGGTGTTATAGATTGGCAGACTGAGATTCACAACTTTACCAAGGTCACACAGTAAGTCCAGAACTGTAACTTGAACTCATTCTTGTCAGCCGGACTCCAACCCAAACTGTCTTTGAGGATGTGGGCTGCCTCTCTACAAAGGCAACAGGACTTGGCGCTGGGTTAATGTTGTCGGGGTGAACTGGCCCACTTCATTTTGGTCTTCTGTGCTTCAGGGAAGCTTGTGGGCTGTGCCATCATTCATGTCAATGGAGATAGCCCAGAGGAAGTGGTCCATGCCACACGACTGGCTTTTGAATACCAGCGCCAATTCCGGAAGGATGTGATTGTTGATCTGTTATGCTATAGGCAGTGGGGCCACAATGAGCTGGATGAGCCCTTCTTCACAAACCCGGTCATGTACAAAATCATCAGGTATGATTATATACCTTTATTTAATATGCCCTCTTCCCCATAGTGCTCACGTTATGATTTTTATCAGACACTCTCGATTAGAATGACCAGCTCTCTTAGTTTGCCTGGGACATGAAACTTTCAGTGCTAAAACTGGGACTCCAAACTCCTGGGTAGACTGGAATGGTCATCCTGTGAGTGTCAGAAAAGCTTCCCGTATTCTTCAAACTTGACATGTTTTCTCAATGAACAAAGAGGGCAACTTAACAACCTCACTTAGCAGATGAGAAGATGGAAGAGGAGGACTTAGGCAGAGCATTGCCTGAAGTTACTTAGTATGGCATTGACAGGATCAGAAAAAGAACCTCCATGATCCACTTCTGCAAACTATAGTTGGAGACCTTCTCTGTGCCTTGGCAAGATGTTACATGATGGATTTTTTTTTTTTTATCCTCACCTGAGGACATTTTTCCATTTTTTGTTCAGATAGAGTGGGAGGGAGAGAGAGGAAGAGGGAGAGAGAGAGAGAGAAACATCGATGTGAAAGGGACACATCGAGTGGCCGCCACCACACGACCAACCAGGGCTGGGGACAAACTGCAACCGAGGTACGTGCCCTTAGCCGGAACCGAACCCGAGTCTCTCTGGACTGCAGGCCAACGCTCTAACTTGCTGAGCCAAACCGGCCAGGGCTACATGATGGATTTTAATGAATGTCCAGAACTGTGCTGTCCGATAGAAACCACTTAAGTGGCTACTAAGTGCTTGAAATGTGGTATGTCTTGATGGAGACGTGCTATGAATGTAATCTACACACCAGATTTCAAAGACTTTATATAAAGAGATGTTAACTATCTCAATAATAATTTTTATATTGATTAGATATTAAAGTGACAATATTTTGGATATATTGAGTTAAGTAAGTGTGATTAAAATTAATTTCACCTGTTTCTTTGTACTTTTTCTAATATGACCACTAGGAAATTTAAAATTCCACATTGGCTTATATTATATTTCTGTTGGACAGTGCTGAGTCGAAAGGTTAATGTGACAGAAATTTCACTTTGGAATGTTCTTTTAGATACTAGAAAGTAAAATAGATCTCTCTTCTTTACTTTATTTCCTCACAGAAATTAATTAAAACAGAGGAATAAACTTGGTGACATTTCACGAACCTTTCTGGTCATAGGTAGCAGACTGCTCTTGGAAGAATAAATCTGGGTTCTCTAGCTCTGAGTTTATTTTAGCAGTTGAATTACTTCATGTGTCCCAGCGCCCCACTTGAAATAATGTATCCTGCCTACCTCTCACTTTGGTCAGGATTAAATATGATAATATGAACAGACCTTACACTTAAAATTTTATTATTATTATTATTATTATTATTATTATTATTATTTTGGTATGTGCCCCTAGCGGGAACCGAACCTGGGACTCTTTGGTCCTCAGGCCGATGCTCCAACCGCTGAGCCAAACCAGCCAGGGCCAGACCTTACACTTTAAAGTGTTATTCAGATGTAGAGTGACATTATTATTACTGTTGTTATAAAATCCAGGAACTGAATAGGTACAAGATTCTTAAAGACACCTGAAACAGATGTTGGCAACTGTGGAGTCAATACTTTTTAAAACAAAGGGGCACTGAATGGGTAGATTATGTAGGTCAGTCCTATAAATAACTGAATTTATCAGTTGATAGAAAAACTATTAATTATTTCTACCTGAATATAGACAAAAATTCATAAGGATAAATTTGTTTTCTCTTGCTTGCCTGGATGAAGTTGTTACTCACCATTGCCTTTTTGAAGAAAATAATTTATTGGAGTGAAAGTCACATGACATAAAATGAACCATTTAAAATTCAGTAGCATTTTCAGTGTCATACAACCACCCCCTCTAGCTAGTTTCAAAGCATTTCCTGGATGCCATTTTACAGCCATGACACTCCACAACATCTTTGACAATGACTGTATCTGTCTCTCTTCGATTTTTACAAATCAGATGGATTCTTTTTCCCCTCTTTCTTGGACAGAGCCCGAAAGAGCATTCCAGACACATATGCAGAGCACCTTATTGCCAAAGGACTCATGACCCAGGAGGAGGTGTCAGAAATCAAAGCCTCCTACTATGCAAAGTTAAATGACCATTTGACTAACCTGACCCACTATAGCCCCCCTGCCACTCACCTGCAGGCCCACTGGCAGGGCCTGGTTCAGCCTGAAGCTCGCATTACCACCTGGAACACAGGTGTGCCCCTAGACCTCCTGCGGTTTATTGGTGGCAAGTCTGTGGAGGTGCCAGAGGAACTCCAGATGCACAGTCACCTTCTGAAGATGTATGTTCAGGTGGGGAACCCTGAAATCCTGGTTACTGTTTGTTTCTTGTGCAACAAAAGATTAATGTTTGTCTGGTCATTTGGTTGGCTAATTCATTTGACAGATATTTATTGTGTGTTATTATGTTCTGGAAACAGATCCCAATGGTGTTTTGGTACTGATAAACAATTAACTCCAATTTTGTCTACTTCTCTCTTTCCTTCCTTCTTTCATACATGTTCAATACATTAAATGTACAGCAACACTGGAATGCCCGTTTGGATTTTTCTGACCAGAAAACCCTTTCATTCTTTTGAGTGGCTTAAATATAATAAATAAAAACCAGCACACCCCTGGAGTCAGCTATTTAGACCCTTAATCATGTTGAGGTTTTACATATTGTCTCATGTTAAATATAGATGCGACAAACCCTCCTGGTTTGCCTGGGACTCAGGGATTTCCTGGAATGCAGGACTCTCAGTGCTGAAAACAGGAGAATAAGCAATTCAAGGCCTTCATCTTTCTTAAACTTGGATGAAGAAACTTTGACATTTGAATTATTTTCAAAACACTAACTTCAGTTGGGGGTTAATTATAGGTATAGCGACTACTAAAACAAACTACGTTCTTACCATCCAAGTGAAGAGATAGAATATTATAAATACCGTTCCCCATGAAGCCCTCCCTGCTGCCATCTCTCATTCATCCTCAGGGTTAACAACTAACCTGAGCACCTGTGTGTTTTGCCTGTTTTATTTTATTTTTTTTTTCATCCTCACTAGAGGACATTTTCCCATTTTTTGTTCAGGTAGAGTGGGAGGGAGAGAGGAACAGAGAGAGAGAGAAACATCGATGTGAAGGGACACATCGAGTGGCTGCCACCCGCACGACCCACCAGGGCCGGGGACAAACTGCAACCGAGGTACGTGCCCTTAGCGGGAACCGAACCCGGGTCTCTCAGGACCGCAGGCCGACGCTCCAACCGCTGAGCCAAACCGGCCAGGGCTGTTTTGCCTGTTTTAAAATGTCATGTGAGCCCTGGCCGGTTTGGCTCAGCGGTTGGAGCGTCGGCCTGCGGTCCTGAGAGACCCGGGTTCGGTTCCCGCTAAGGGCACGTACCTCGGTTGCAGTTTGTCCCCGGCCCTGGTGGGTCGTGCGGGTGGCAGCCACTCGATGTGTCCCTTCACATCGATGTTTCTCTCTCTCTCTCCCTCCCGCTCTCTCTGAACAAAAAAATGGAAAAATGTTCTCGGGTGAGGATAAAAATAAATAAAAATAAAAAAAATAAAATGTCATGTGATTGCCTGGCTGGTGTGGCTCAGTGGTTGAGCATCGACCTATGCACCAATAGGTTTCTAGTTCAATTCCCAGTCAGGGTACATGCCCAAGTTGTGGGCCTGATTCCCAGTGGGGGGCATGCAGGAGATGGCCAATCGATGTTCTCTCTTATTGATGTTTCTATCACTCCCTCTCTCTCTCTAAAAATCAATAAAGAAAAATTATTAAAAATAAATAAAATAAAATGTCATATGATTGCTATTAGACTTTTATGTATTCTTCTGCTCTGTTTAGTTTAACATTGTTTTTGATACTTTCCATTGTTGCATTATATATTTTGAACTCTGTGAAAAAGGATATAGACTCATAAAAGTTTTTTTTTTCTCCCCTTCAATTTCACAGTCTAGACTGGAGAAGATGATGGATGGAACCAAGTTAGACTGGGCCACGGCAGAAGCTCTCGCCTTGGGCTCCTTACTTGCTCAAGGTAAGAAGTTTGTTTAGCTGCACAGCTGGTAGGGGATGCTTTAATATGACGTTTGTTACATGTGACCTCTGCAGATTTTAATTTGTATGTTAATCCTCACCTGTATTGACTTTTTTATTTTATTTTTTTTTAGATAGAATGGAAAGGGGGAGGGTGGGAGAGAGAAAGAGTGAGAGAGAAAGATCAACGTGAGAGACACACATTGATTGGTTGCCTCCTACACGACCCTGAAGAGGGCTGGGATTGAACCTTCTACCCAGGTATGCACCCTTGAACAGGAATCAAACCAGAGACCCTTCAGTCCACAGGCCAATGCTCTAAACCGCTGAGCCAAACCAGCCAGGGCTGATCTCTACAGGTTTTATTTATTATTATTACTATTATTTTCAAACCCTCACCCAAGGTTATTTCTCCGTTTATCTTCAGATAAAGTGGGAGAGAGTAAGGGAGGGGAAGAGAGAGAAACATTGATGTGAGAGAGACACATTGATCAGTTGCCTCCCACAGGGCCTGACCAGGACCGGGACCAAACCGCAACTGAGGTATGTGCCCTTGGTCGGAATCGAACTCGTGACTCTTTGGTCCACGGGTCCATGCGCTAACAGCTGAGCCAAATTGGCCAGGGCATGATTTCTGCAGATTTTTTTTTCCCTCAATTTTTATTAATTTATTTTTGTTACAGATGTTTCTCCTTTTTGCCCCCTAGAAACCCTCTGATCTCCGCAGATTTTAAGGTGACAACTACCTCCTATTATTTTCATTGACTGGAGAGATTATAAAACACTTTACCTTTTTTTTACCTGACAATATTATTTAATCTTAGTATGTGTCATGTTGATAGCCTTCATCAGAAAACAGAACAATTATACCTGGAAAAGAAAGAGCTCAGGGCTGGATGTATTGGAAAGATACTTTTCTCCAAAAATTGTAGGGCAAATGTTGACTCTCCATTCTTACACAATCTCACCTTGACTACAGACTTTTGCATATAGGACTGGTATATTTTAATAAGGATAATCTATTATGCTAAGAAAAATTCTCAGGACAAGCTGATGTATAAGAATTCAGTGTCACCATGTCTTATTATGAGTAGGTTATTCATGGGAATTGATATTTTTTCCCTCTTGCTTGCTTAAGGTTTTAATGTCCGTCTGAGTGGCCAAGATGTTGGCCGTGGGACGTTTAGTCAAAGGCACGCAATGGTTGTTTGCCAGAAGACTGATGACACCTACATCCCTCTGAACCATATGGACCCGAATCAGAAGGGGTTTCTAGAGGTAGGATGTTTCCTTATCTATTGTAAAGTCCAGATGCTGATGATTATAGTTATAGGATTCTTTAAGCAACTACTGGTTCAATGCTTTTTGAAGTAAAGAGATGCTGAGTGGATAGACGATATAGGATTATAAATTTGGAATGGAAGTAACATATTAGCAAGTAGACTAATTATTTTACTCTGGCTACTTATCTGCAATTATGTAAAAGTCAAATTGATGTTCATTTTGTCAATCAAAAATTGACATTATAGACTATATATTGCTGGATTCATTAGAGTAAATCTAAGATGTTAATAATTAGCCAACATTTCTTTCCTATTAAAAAAAAAGTCATTTCATCATTACTTTATTCCCTAAGGTTTAGTAGGCTTGATGAATATATCTATTGTCGCATATTTTCGTGTGTCAGTCACTGAGCTATACTCGTTAGAGTCAAGGGCAGGGACCACCAGGTCTTCTCATTTTTGTTTCTTCAACAACTAGCATATGTCTGGCACATGATATTTATTGAACTAAATTATCCTCTAAGGTACAATTAGTGGTCTGTCCTTTTTTTTCCTACTCCAGCCATTTGAGAGTATAATCTTGAGTTCACTGATATCAATATTTATAAAAAGGTTTACTTGTCAAAAGGAAAATTCCAGGAAGATTACTTAAGGGACATAGTGCTTATCTTTTCTTTAAGTTAGTCTAAAGTCCACCCTTGTATTAAGTCAGATTGATGATCTAGATACTGAAATGTTTAATATTTCCCCCACCCACCCACCGATGATTTTTATTAAATTGTGATTTTGATATGTAGTATCAATTCGCTTTAAATATTAATATTTGAAAAACCCTAACTAAACGCCTTGTCTTTTTTATGAGGATACTGTCAAAGATTTCATTTATTATCTGGTACCGTGTACTTTACATGAAGACCCTGGGAGAAACACCTGATTGATTTTGGTTTGTCTTTATTGTGTACACCATGAATTCTGTAACTAACCAGCACTCTCTTTAATAATGGCTTCGATAAAATCAGAAAATAAAACAATGAATATATACACTCTTCAAAAATATATATAATGGCTTCTATGAAGGGGTAGAGGCCACAATAGCCTTGATAAAAGTGAGTAGGTTACCAGATGATGTCTTTTCCTCAACTCTGTTGTTTCTTGATCTTAATTTCTCATCTTTCTCTGCACTTACTTTGCACTGTCATGTTATATATTATGTGTGCCTACAAGCCATCTTAAATACTTTTTGAAATAAATAAAAGCATTAGTAGATTCAAGAAAATAAGGTATACTAAAGTACAAAGTGCAGTAGTCAATAGGAGAAGGAACATCTTATCCTACTTGGAGACATCAGGAAAAGTTTGGCAGGGAAGCCAGATTTCAATTGGGAACTGAAGGACATTGGGAGTCGCTGTTCTAACACATGAAGACAGAACATTCAAAGTGGACACAATAGCACATAAAAAACAGAAGAAAGAGGAACTAACATGCCCAGGGAACTACAAGTAGCTTCATATGACTGGAGGGTAAACTGCAAAGTAGATACAGGAGTAAAAAAGAGGAGATAAGCCAGATAGGACTACCCACATGTGAAAAACTTTGAGTATTACGTAAAAGAGAATTCTTTACAGGTAATCTGATTTCATATTAGAAAGGTCACTCCTGATAATACTTTGGAGTTCTAGGTTGAAAAAGAATGAGAATTTAGGACAATTTTTAAGGAGGCTTTTCAGTCATCTAGGCAGGAAGTCTTGAGGACCTGAATTAGGGCAGTAACAGTGCCGGTGGAAGATGGGGCCAGATTTGAGAACTATTCAGCTAAAGGACGTAGTGGTAGATGCAGAGAATGAAGAAGAAAGACTTGTCTCAGTTATCTTCTAGCTTTGTGACTTAGACAACTGGTGTGTGATGACGGCATTTACCCAAACAGAGAGTGAAGAAGAAGGAGTAGGTTTGGTAAGGAAGGGAATCAATTTTGGACATTTGACTTAGTGGGGAATGAATGTCATAGAGGTTTCTATCAGGCAATTAAAGGTAAGTCAGTCTGGAACTAAGGAAGGAATCTGGTCTTTAGATCTGGATTTGGAAGTAATTGGGGTGGATGAGTGTTTGAAATCACAGGGGTGGGAGAAACTCTCTGAGAGAGAGCAGAGTGAGAAAAGGGCCAAAGGATAGAGTGTTGGGAAAAACAACATTTAAGTGTCTGTCACAGGAAAAGTATTTTCCTAAACAGCATCCAGGAAGGCAGGAAGAGAACTAGAGTCACTGTGTCATTGAACTCAAGGATGGGGAGGAGTCAGATAAGAGGAAGAATAACGTGGTCATTGGACCTGGCAACTAGAAGGTCAAGGGTTGACCTTAGGTAGAGCTTTTTTTTTTTCCTGTGTAGATTGGGCTATCCCATTTTTATGTAGAGCTATTTTAGGGGAGTTATGAAAGCAGAAGTGAGAATATACTGGTTGAAGGGTAAACAAGAGTTAAGGAGGTAGAGACAAAGTAGATTAGATAATTCGTTCTAGAAGTTTGACTGAAAGGAAGCAATAGCTGGAGAGCACTGATTGAGACTATTTCTTGTTTTGGTTTTTAGCTTTTGGTTATCTATCTGCTGAGAGGAGAAAGCCAGTGAGGCTCAGAGGTTCAGAATAGGGGAGTTAGGTGATGAAGTTGGGAGAAAAATCCAAAGACCAGTGGATTTAGAAAATGAGTGGGGCCTTGGCTGGTATGGCTCAGCGGTAAGAGCATCACCTGAGGACCAAAGAGTCCCGGGTTTGGTTCCAGGCAAGGGCATATACCTCATTTGCTGTTTGTCCCCGGTCCCAGATGGGGTTGTGTGGATGGCAACCAATTGATATGTCTCTCTCACATTGATATTTCTCTCTCTCTTTCTCCCTCTCTCTCTCCAGCTCTATCTGAAGATTAATGTAAAATATCCTCGGGTGAGGATTAAGAAAAAAAAGAAAATGAGTGGGCATGTCAGCCTTGGGTAGGAAAAGAGATAAGGAAGGAGGTGAGGACAGACGGGAGGTACAAGGAAAGTGGCCACTCAAAACCCCATTTTACAACACACTTATGAATCTGAGAAGTGCAGCAGTCTTTTTTACTTTATTATTGTTTAAAATAAATTTTTTTTCCTTTATTGATTTTAGCAAGAGAGGAAGTGAGAGGGAGAGAGAGGTAGAAACATTGATGAGAGAGAACATTAATTGGCCACCTCCTGCATGCTCCCCACTGGGAATCTGGCCCACAACCTGGGCATGTGCCCTGACGGCAGCCTCTTGGTGCATGGGTCGATGCTCAACCACTGAGCCACAGCAGCCAGGCACAGCAGTCTTTTTTAAAATTAATGTGTTATATAGATTATAGTCAAAATAAAAATAGAAATCAGAAAAGATAAGTTATGCATAATCTCACCATGCGAATAAATCATCTATTTGTATTTTTCTGTTATCAGTGAGTGCTTATCCATATAAATCACAATATTTAAAAAATATATATATTTTTATTGATTTTTGGAGAGAGAGTATGAGAGGGAGGGAGAGAGAAACATTGATATGAAAGTGTTTTGAAACATTGTTTGGCTGCCTCCTGCACACCCCCTACTGGGGATTGAGTGTGAAACCCTGGCATGTGCCCTGATCCAGAGTCACATCAGCAACCTTTTAGTGCACAGGGACAACACTCAACCAAGTGAGCCTCACTGGCCATGGCTAAATTACAAATTTTTATAGTTGTAATTGTTATAGAGATGTAATATTTTTTCAGTTTTTTTAAATAAAAGCTTTATCGAGATAAAACTTATAGAATTCAACCTTTCAATATGTGCAAATATTGTATTCACAGACTTGTGTAGCCATCTCCACTATTTAATTTCAGAACATTTTTATCACCTCCATTAGGTGAAACCTTGTACCCATTAGCAGCCACTCCTCATTCCTTCTTATCCCCAGCCTCTGGTAGCCATTCATCTACTTTCTGTTTCTATTGATTTGCCTACTCTGGACTTTTTATATGAATAGAATCATACATGTGGCCTTTTGTGTCTGGCTTTGTTCAATTAGCATCTGTTTTCAAGGTCCATCCATGTTGTTGAAAGGATTAGTAACGTTTTAAAGGGTAAAGGTAAAAGCTTGCAAAAGGCAGAAACTCTGAAAAAATATGTTGCTTGCATAACCTTTGCTTAGCTTTCTGTTGAGTGAGGTTACCCTCAAGGTAATCCACAAGGACATCGGGTTATCTGCAAGGCTATGAGTCACGCAGCAGATGCAGGAGGAGATACCAGACCAGTCCAACTGCAAAGTGGACAATGGGCCAGGCAGAGTACATCAGCAGGAACTGCTGGAAACTGAAACTAGAGTATATAACCTACACCCCAACTGTTATTCAAGGCTGAACCCTTTTTGGCTCAAACCACCTGCACCCAGGCGCATACAATAAAGCCATTTTGCTTTACATTGGCCTTGTGTGGTGGATGTGACCTCTGGCCGGCTCAGACCTTTTAGTTGTAGCATGTGTCAGTATTTGATTTATTTTTATTACCAAAATATAATTTTACAGATATGTAACTTTTTATTTTTAGAGAGAAAGGAAGGGAGAGAGAGAAACATTCATGTGAGAGATCAACATTGAATGGTTGTCTCCTGCACACCTCCTACTGGGGATCGAGCCTGCAACCCAGGCATGTGCCTTGATCGGGAATTGAACTAGGTCCTTTCAATCCATGCGATGCTCAGTCCACTGAGCCACACCGGCCAGGCACGTTTTGTGACATTTTTTTAAAAGAAGTTTAAATGACACAGTTTTACTCCCAGCTCCAAAGGTTGGCCATCTGAGAAGTTAATTTTGCTTATCCTTAAAGAAAATCTTCAATGCCCATATTCCAAGCTCTTTCATTTCTTCCTCTTTTTGTCCCAACTTTCCCATATGCATCACTCACAGAGGGCTATTTCCAAAGTCATGTGGAAACAACTGAAAACAAAGCCTCACTCTCTGCCCCTCCTCCCTTCTGAGAGGTTTGTATGAATGTGAGGTTTTTACCTTTGCTGACTCACATCACCACTTCTCTGGCATGACAGTGTCTCTGTTCGCTTCCTTTGCATCAGGTCAGCAACAGCCCATTGTCAGAAGAGGCTGTCCTGGGATTTGAGTATGGGATGAGCATTGAGAGCCCTAAGTTACTGCCCATCTGGGAGGCTCAGTTTGGTGATTTCTTCAATGGCGCCCAGATCATCTTTGACACTTTCATCTCTGGAGGTTGGTTTTGGCATATGGGTATGTAGTGAACACATGACACCAGCCTCACAGGGACAAATCTACAAAAAGGGGCTGTAGCTGCTTATGAGACTCCTTGTACCACAGACCCTGGGGAGAGGTGGGGGTTGCCCTGTCGTCCACTGGGGCATGGCAGCTATCAGTTAAATAAGTGCCACTCAGCGACTGTGTAGGGAGCACCTTCCCATCTGTGGGGGAATGTGTTTGGCTGTAGGGAGCAGGACGTACGCCCACCAGGTCCTAAGGAGTTTGACTTTCAGGTCCATTCTTGGGGTTTGTGGAGTAGCTATGACAAGAATCACAAGCAAGCAGTGGTGACATAGTGTGAATTTATGAATGGCAGCCTCGAAAATCTGCTTCCCTCAATCCAGGGACACTCAAATATCTGAATGTTGGGAGTTGTCCATCTTTATTATTTTTAATAATCATTTACAAAAGTAGTAGCTGCTGTAAAAATTCAAAGTATATAAAGTACAAGTGTGAGTCTCCCCCAGACTCTTACCCCATTTTGGGGGGTAACCACTTTTGGATTATGTGTGTGTACTATAGATCTTTCCCTTGGTTGTGTTTTTCTGTAATTGTGTAGTCATGAGTAAGAAACATGCCAACCAATGTCACCCCAATAAATGTAATTTAAAATAAAAACAATTAAAAAAAAAAAAAACGTGCCTTGAGGAGACTGGACTTTGACATGTCTTCAGCTCGAGAACAGGGGCTTGTGCTGTCAGGGATGCTATGAGGAGACATAAGAGCTGTCCAGTCTTGGTAAGAGGTGTGCCTGAGTGAAGTCAGCATGGTTGTGCTGGCCTGGGGTCCCAGTGTTCACTGTTGAGTTTGTCTTCCACTTGCTAAAGCCTAGGATGGATATTTCAGCTGGTAGGATGGGTATTTTTTCTCCCAAGTATGGTATAGCAATGCTAGACAGTACATGTAATGAAAAGGATTCTACGGCAGTGGTTCTCAACCTTTCTAATGCCACGACTCTTTAATACAGTTCCTCATGTTGTGGTGACCCCCAACCATAAAATTATTATTTTTTGCTACTTCATAACTGTAATTTTGCTACTGTTATGTCTTAGGCAACCCCTGTGAAAGGGTCATTTGACCCCCAAAGGGGTCATGACCCACAGGTTGAGAACAGCTGTTCTACGGAATCAGGCAGCAAACTACCATTTGTTCTGCTGCCCAAGTCAGATCAGACCCTTTCCTTCCTGCTTCATAGAGGTCTCACTCCCTCCCGCTGCTTTTCCAGGAGAGGCCAAGTGGCTCCTCCAGAGCGGCATTGTGATCCTTCTACCCCACGGGTACGACGGGGCTGGACCGGACCACTCCTCTTGTCGCATAGAGCGTTTCTTGCAGGTATGTCCAATGCCTTTTGGATTCCCAGGAATGTTTTCCTGCTTCTGAGATGCTTTGAGCTAGAACTGCCTCCTGCAGGTACTTAATGTGCACCTTAAACTGTCAGACATTGTAGTATTCGAATGAAACAGATTCGATGCCCTGGAAGTGGCAAGCCTGGCAGCCTGTTGCCTCCACTGAGCTCTGTAGGGGCTTCTGCTCTAGATTTTGCCTTTATTTCCCCCCAGGGTTGCCTGTGCACACCCTCCTTCCTAATTGGAAGAACTAGTAAGAATTGTCTGGATTTTGTCACTTTCTTTTCGCTCCATTGCTTCTGGAGTGGGGTTAGGAACCATGCCTCAGTTTTCAGTCCCACCAGGATCTTCTAATATTTAATTCCTTGCCCTCAACTTTTCAATCTTGGTAGCTGCTTTTGATTTTGTTTTTTCTTTAACCAACCAAACTATAATTGTGTTTATTTTATTAGGAAAGTGAGATTCTGACATTGCTGTCTTCCACCATCTTAACCCCACAGCAATCAGATCTATATTTTTTAAAAGGTCGCCTCCAGGTGTTTCATGAAATCAGCTGTGTTTGGGAACAGCCATGTTGAAATACCCAGACTCAGGCAGATGGGGGAAGCCATCAAACCTCTCCTCTGGTTAATTCTTCATAGGCTCTAAATTTACCTGTTGGTGTTTTCTATAATGGAGGGAAATATCTTTTTTCATCATTGAGAATCCTGTGGTCCCTTTGGAGAACACATGTCATTATGATTGAATGAGATGATCTGAATGTTCTCCTTTTTTTTTCATTTCTCTTCCAGATGTGTGACAGCACAGAGGAGGGGGTGGATGGGGACACCGTGAACATGTTTGTGGTACACCCCACAACTCCTGCTCAGTATTTCCATTTGCTCAGGAGACAAATGGTCCGGAACTTCAGAAAACCCCTCATTGTTGCTTCTCCGAAGATGTTACTTAGGTTCCCTGTAAGTGGAAAAAACTGGTTGAAAGCCTTTCTCCTTTCTGGTCATGTTTTTTTTTTTCTGTAATTTTTTTTCCTGTTGTCTATATCTAATTATATTTCTAAATTACAGAAATATCTTTTTTAGTTTTAGTTGGCTTTGCTTTTCTCTCTCTCTCTCTCGTACCTTTTGAGAATAATTGGAAATATAGGGAGCTCTCAGTTTCCTTTTAATGAAGGACAGGATAGCAGGCAGGTATTATCACACTGTATCCTGGTTTGAAAGGAATAATTTTATAGAAAAAGTTTAAGAGTCCAAATGGTCAGTTCAGCTCAGCAGTTAGAGCATTGACCCCCCGGGCCAGAGGACTGGGTTTGATTCCCAGTCAAGGACACATATCTGGGTTTCAGGTTCAATCCCATTCCTGATTGGGGTCATCTGGGAGGCAACCAATCAATATGTGTCTCTCTCATATCAGTGTTTCTATCTCTCTCTCTCCTTCCCTCCCTCCCTCCCACTCTATCTAAAAATCAGTGGAAAAATATCCTTGGGCAAGGATGAACAACAACAACAAAATAGTCCAAATGGCCTAAACAGTACTGTGTTGATAATAGCAAGCTGGGAATTTAGAGTATTTTCATGAAAACAAGTGGTGTTATTCATTGACTTTTTTTTTAATCCTCACCTGAGGACATTTTTCTGTTTATCTTCAGATAGAGTGGGAGGGAGAGAAAGGGAGAGAGAAACATGACGCATGACGCCAGGCCTGGGACGAACCGCAACTGAAGTATATGCCCTTGACCAAAATCGAACCCGTGACTCTTTGGTCCCCAGGCCGATGCTCTACTGCTGAGCCAAACCGGCTAGGGCTTATTGACTTTTGTTTAGATTTTTTTCTGTTAAATGATTTATCATAGGTAGATTCCTGTTTTAGTAAGCACAACAGCATGGCAATGTAGTTTAATTGTGCACTGCTTTAAAAGTTTACATTTTTTAAAAGTGTGCATTTTCTCTTGGTTTACCTGAACTAAGTGTTAAGTGCATGATATATTTTTAAATCACAATATGCTAGTTTTCAAATGGCAGAGTTCAAGGTAATTAATACTAGTAAGCTGCTCGACTTTTTTCAGTTTTATATGAACATTTTAAATAGGATGAACATTTGAAAACTTGCATTTATTTGGATGCTACAGCTGAGGCGAAGTAAGTCATTTATGATTTGGTTGTTCAGGACTATCTGGTGCTTTGCACAGAGGTTGGAGAGTGTAAATTTAGAATTGAGGGGTGTTGAGGAAAGCTGCAAGTGAGTTGCTCTCACTGGTTGCATTTTTAAGCAGTGCTAGCATTTGGAGGGGAGTCAGGAGATCCTCCGATGATCAGCACTTGTGTGATCCTAGAGTACACGCCTCATTAAATTTTACTCTCCGGGCACCTCACCTGTCTTACTCTAGTTCTAACTCTGAGAATCAATATCAAATATAATGATATTAAATATAATTTGTGTATATTACCAAGTATTAAGTGAACTATTAGAAATTTTATTAAGAATCTCTTTTGCTGTTTGAAACTGAGAATAAGAGTTCATATTCTGCCCTAGTATTTCACCCCTTACCCCAAGACCAATATATAAATTATCAAATAAAAGAAGCCTTATTTGGGAGCCTTAAAAAAATATCAACAGTGCCCTGGCCAGTTTGGCTCAGCGGGTGAGTGTGGCCTGTGGGCCAGAGAGTCCTGAGTTCGGTTCCCGCTAGGGGCATATACCACACACACACACACAAAATCAATAGCTATCCTATAGATTTTCAAGTGAAAAAGTACTCTTATTAAGTAGTCAAATATTTTTATTAAACATATAAGTTCTTTTATTAATTGAAAATTATATGATTGCTATTAAATTCTGATTTCCTTTTGAAACTTTTATTATTGGTACAAATGATCTATCCGAGTATAAGTCAACCCTTTCTTTTGATGGCCTATTTAGAGATGATTGGCCACATGACAAACATGATATCCCACCTAGCTCTGAACCCCAACTCCTTTTGTTTCCTGCTCTGGGAAGTAAGAACTGACAAAGGGATCTGGTTCAGAATGGAGAAAGATCAAATTAATTAGTAATAAGAATAGCTGAATAGTTAATAAATATTTTAGGTTATATCACAATATCCCAGCATCAGTGTGGCTGCCCACAATGGCCTAGTCAAAATGCCATATACCCATTTGAGACTAGACTGTAGGGAAACTAACTAGATGATAACAAAAGGGATCAAATCCCTAACCTTGGCTCATCAGATCTTTGCAGCAAGCATTTATTTAAATTGAGCTCATTAATGAGATTAATATATCTATTTTTAACTTATCTTTATTGTTTTTTTTTTTTTTTTTTTTTTTTATCCTCAACCGAGGACATTTTTCCATTTTTTGTACAGATAGAGTGGGAGGGAGAGAGAGAGAGAAACATCGACGTGAAGGGACACATCGAGTGGCTGCCACCCGCACGACCAACCAGGGCCGGGGACAAACTGCAACCGAAGTACGTGCCCTTAGCGGGAACCGAACCCGGGTCTCTCCGGGACCGCAGGCTGACACTCTAACCGCTGAGCCAAACTGGCCAGGGCTTTATTGTTGGATGTATTACATATGTCCCTGCCTTTTTCCTCATTAAACCCCTCCTCCCCAATCCCACCCCCCTTCTGCCTTCCCCACACTATTGTCAGTGTCCATTGGTTATGCATATATGCATAGAAGTTCTTAGGTTTATCTCATCCTGCCCTCCCTACCCCCTTCCCTTTGAGATTCATCAGTCTAACAACCAATTTGTATTTCTTAATTTCTTTATCTTTTTCACCCATCCCCCTAGTTCCCACCTATCTAGCAAGCAACAAAAAGTTATCTGTATCTGAGTCTGTTTCTGTTCTGCTTGCTCATTTTGTTTATAGATTCAATTGTTGATGGATATGTATTAATTGCCATTTTATTGTTCATATTTTGTTCTTTTTCAAAAAGACCCTTCAACATTTCATATAATACTGGTTTGGTGGTGGTGAACTCCTTTAGCTATTTCTTATCTGGGAAACTCTTGATATGTCCATCGATTCTAAATGATAGCTTTGCAGTGTTGTAGACCAAGACTCAGACTCCGAACTGGGTTCAAATTAAGGAGCTTTATTAGCTGCGGGCGACTGTCCCATCCTACTCAGAGGAGAGAGCAGCCCTGAGCTCAGGGGGAGGGTTGCTTATATAGTTGTCTTAGCCCCTGGTAAGGAATTTGGGTTAAGGGTATGCGAGCAAGCAAGCACGTACAGAAGCAGATATTTGCAGTTAGCTGTTATGCCTGAGGGAACAATCAGTTTCTGTGTACGCAAAGCAATGGTTATCTATACAATGCAGTGGTTATCTATTAGCAGATAGTTCTTGCCATTCCCTTAAAATCCAGGGGGCAAGGTCATGTGTTTGTCCTTTACATTCCCCACTGGTCTTAGGGTTAAATCAAATCTTCGATTCTAAAGTGTCTTCAATTTCTTCCATTGTGGCTAGCCTCTGATAGGGAGTGCTAAGAACCATGAGCTTAACAGCCTGTACTTTTTCTCTAAAAAATTGCGTTAAGCGATTTATCAGGATTGGGCCACAAGTTAATATTAATAGGAGGAGGAGTAAGGGGCTCGCAAGGCCAGTGATAAGAGTAGTGAGCCATGGGGACCAATTAAAGAGGTTCTCATACCAATTCTTAGAGGTGGATAGAGCCTGTTCTCGTTCATCTAGTCACTATATAACTAATTTTATGCCTTCTCTAATAATACCAGATTGGTTAGCATAAAAGCAACAGGTTTCTCCTAAGGCCAAACAGAGAAGAAATAAACCTGTGGAATAATGTTAGCAAGAATACATAAGTCTTTGGTTCCAACAGGAAAGACGCAGAGAGTCAGTCCTGAGGCGCAAGCAAACCAAGTCCCAGGGGGTGCAGTTGGGACCCAAGTCTCTTGTGATGAGGGACTTAATGGGCTTAGGGTGGTAGTGTCCCCACATGAGTCTGCATAAGGGGAAGAGCTTAGGTCGTAGTTGCCGATGATGAAGCATGTCCCCTGTCCTTGTAGGACTCCGAGGGTCAGGCGGGGGCCCGTACCTTCATAGCAGTGGCCACCCTTGAGTGCATCTAAATTGGTTAGGTGCTTTACTGGCAGTCAGTCAGGAAAGAGACTAGGAGGAAACCCTGGAGAGCTTTACCTTCAGGGGATCCTCGGTCCACTGTAAGGCCCATTGCTCAGGTATTTGCTCAGGGTGTGCTTTCTTTACCTGAGTGTGGTGAATCCAAAATTTCCGTCCTGCTACCTTCAGAGCAGTGGGTGTAGTCAGGATAACAGGAAAAGGGCCAGTCCAGCGAGGCTCGAGGGAGGCTGATGTTTCTTGATCCAGACCCAGTCACCAGGGGTGAAGTCGTGCGCTGATATCTGCGGTGTCCCCGGTTGGGGTCTGGTGTCCTTGGCTGGCTGTCGGGTCTGTTCTCTCAGCCTCTGGATTGCCTGCAAAGAGCTGAGGAGGTTATGGTTACATAGGTTGGCTAAGACCTCGTCCCCGATTTTGGGTAGAATAGGGGGAGGTCGGCCAAACATGATTTCAAATGGGGTGAAACCCTTAAGATAAGGGGTACAGTGCACACGAAGGAGGGAAAAAGGAAGGAGCCTTACCCAGTTATCGCCCGTCTCAAGGTGGAGTTTAGTTAAAGTTTCCTTTAATGTCCTATTCATTCTCTCTACCCGTCCTGAACTCTGAGGCCGGTAGACACAATGCTATTTCCAAGTAATCCCTAAAGCTTTAGCTAACAATTTTGTGGTTTGATCAATAAATGCCAGGCCATTGTCGGACCCCAGAGCTAGAGGGAGGCCAAATTGGGGGACTATCTCAGAGAGCAGTAACCGGGCTACCGTGGTTGCAGCTTCAGTCTTGGTAGGAAAAGCCTCAGTCCAGCTGGAGTAGGTAACTATGAAAACAAGCAGATATTTATAGCTATATTGGCCAGGGGTGAC